CTAACGCGAATTTGATTTTAAAAAAAAGCTTCGTTCAACTAACTTATCGGAGCCTCCGCCTTCTTCAGGGTAATGCTGATCCGAGTCGATTGCCCACAATTGTTTCTCCTTCCGATGTGAGTCTTATTGATAGCTCTGAGTCTAATTCAGTGCAGCACCATTGGAATGAAGTAACCTCACCCCACATTGCTCTTTTATGCAAGACAGTTGTTGACACTGATTGTCCGATGATAATCGTTTGTTTTTCTACCGACAATCCATTCTGCAGTAGTAGGTATCATTATTATGTGGTACACAGCCCAAGAATATCTCAAAAAACCGATATTCCTTCAACCCATGATAATCAACATATATTTATCCTCAGTTGCCTAATGCTTGACATCGAAATATTTTGGCTTTTGTCTATTTAATATCTTAAAGAGTTTGCTAAAAATCGATACAGAAAAACTGGCAAGAAGTCCGGCAGTAGTTATTTTATCCAATAGAAGTTTACAAGCTTTCAACGATGATCAAGCCCTGAAGCACGCGCCATGCATTGGACTTCATTAAACATCGTTAGAGGTGATTGAATGCATATATGGCCTATTCACGGACTTTATATGGCTTCCCAGTGTATCAACTCGGTGCTGCTGCCAACTTGCCGACTTCAAAGCCATGGAAGGCTTGGTGAACCTGGGGTGCAACATGGAAACAGCGAGCATCTGTGTATTTTGGGGCACCTTTGACCACTGCGCTACACGTTTCCCTAGACAGCTGACGATAATAAGATTCGAACCCAAGCCACTGGAGGAAATGGTGCTTTAAATCAGTGGCAGAGACCTCTCGAACATCTCGCAACGATGTTTTCCAGTACCATATTTAATTCATGCGATTGCTCATATTCACCTGCTTGGAAATTCTATCTAGGTAGCAGGAATTTTTTGGGTTCATAAAGGATATTCCTAAAAGAACACTAAAAAACTGTCACTCATTCCATTATTTCCTGTATCACAACACTTTGTCGTTTCCCATTTCATTTTATGTTCAGTATTTCACTTAGAACTCAGTTATCGTTTTTATTCAATCTTACTCTTATTTAAGAGCTTACGAATGAGGAGTTCAATATCCATTCAAACATCTCACAGTTATAAATCTTATCCGATAGCCAAAAAGCATTCAGTTAATTAAAATTCGCTTACGTTTTAGTGAATGCGGTACTTTTCATAATTCTACCATCCGCCCTATCTATATATAGAGAATCCGTCAGATTCTTTAGTACCTATAGCATGATAGATAAAGTTGAACAAGCGGTGCTCTATCATATCTGTATTTTTAGCATTTTGTTGATGAATGTGAAGTAAGCCAGTGGTCGAGCTTCCTCAAAACTGGAGATTATCAATTGCACAACTGTCCCTTAATAAGCATCTCCGCATGTCTGTCCATCTGTTTGTCCACTTGTCCGTCTGTCCAACCGTCCATCCGTCTATTTGCCATCTCTATATCCGTCTCTTTCTAGTCGTGTGTATGTATGTGTGAGTGTGTGTGTGCGTGTGTGTGTGTGTATGTGTGTATGTTTCCGTTTGCTTGGATTTTTGCATGTATGTCCGTAACTGTGACCGTCGCTCAAGGGATTTTTCTATTTCTTCCAACACATCTTGACTTTATTTCATTTCTTCACACACGTCGTCTACGAAGGTCATTGAATTTCTAGGCAGGTTCGACTGTTAAGTGGGGATTTTGTCTTTTCACTAGCAACGTTCCGATGAAGTAGATTTTCGCTGGAATTTCCGGAATACCGTGGTTCAGCGTTCACAGATTTTCATCAGAATGAGTAACTGGCTTTTGTCCACTGGATGGAGTAAGGTGGCCGTGGAGAATCCCGGTACCAATTTTTTGACGCTGGAGGAATTGCAGTTCGTTGGTCCGGCGTTAGGTTGAACCAGGTCCTCGCGCATATTGAGTGGCATTGGTACCACTATCTAACATTCTCGTTAGAAAATTACTCACTAGAAGCATTCTGAACTTTAACGACTCCGAGAGGATTTTCTGCAGTAGTGGACAAAATAACAGTGACTATATCAAAGATAGCATATCTTACAGATCTTACAGATAAAGAAAAGCTGAAGTGATCTGAGCACTAGGGTAAATTAGCGAAAGAGATTAGCACCTCTGTGTAAAATTTGAAAACGGAATGGGTCTCGAAAAAAGGGACATAAATGCTTGTTGTTCATCGCTCCATAGGAGTCGTATTTTTCGGCTCTGAACATCTATAGTTCTAATCCCCTTGTTGGGTAATTAGTTTCCCGACATTTATTCTACTACAGCGCTTTATCGATAACGTCTCATTTATTATCGCTCGCTCATTAAATCTATGTTTTCTCAACTATTCTTAATTTTTCACTTTTTCACTAATGGAATTTGTGGGAAAAGCGCGGGAACACTTTTTGTCTTGTTCCCTACTTATGTGAATCGTATTCTCCCAGCTTCAGCCTTTTGGATCTCGTTCCTCTCTTCGCAGTGTGGAAAATTTTGCCTGTTTTTCCGATTTTTTTTCGCACAGTCAATCTGATTGAATGTTTCATTCTTTTATCTTAGTACTTAGAGTTTGTTCGACTTCAGATGCTAACGAACATCTCAACGAACTTCGACGAAAGTCTCACCGAGCCATTACTCTGTTTACCTTCTGCGGTGAGTTTCGAACTAAAAAGTCAAATCGGTTTCCAAAGTTTACTTCTAAATATTTCATTCCAATAAATACCTCTTTATGACTTTTAATTATATCGTGACATTAGGTCAATAACGCATAGATTAAAGCCGTTCCATTAATAGATGATTACAGTTTGTTGATCAAGATGTCCTGCTTCGATTCGTAAGATGGATGGACTATTTTGTCTTTTGTTCCGCCATAGTTTCGTCATTACTTCAAATCGACATATTAAAAAAGGTAAACTTTGAAAAACTAGGAAAAAGTCATATTCAAAAGCATAGTTTTTACTTAAACCACCTAAAAACGAGTGAACTATTTTGCTCTATATTTTTCAAATCATTTAGAACGGTGAATAGACACCATACTATATATATATATATACATATATATATCGATTAGAAGCGGATAGCACAGTGGTAGTGAAGCCGGTCATCAGGAGCATGGTTCTGGTTCGATTGCGGTCCAACTCCGAGCTTTCCAATTCTCTCATTCCTTTGAGGTTGAGAAATTATTACCAGGCTTTGTCTGGAAAAAATCACCTCTAATCCATCGACTCAACTGGCATTCATGATGAAATAAAAATCCTCAAGGAGCAACCGATGCCGCACGTGAAAGTTGGTAGAACTTCGTGGGCGATGTATACGAAGCGAATCGAATGCGAGAAATGCAGGGATCCGAACAGTATAGACGATTCGTTTTCTCTCCAAGAAAAAATTTTTCAATTTTGATACCCTTCATATTTTTCAATTTTGAAATGAAGATTTGATTTTTGAAAATAGTATTCACATCTCTCCCAACGGCCTCATTGTTGCTGGGAAGTATTCTTGGGTGTCGGTCTGCGATATACAGCTGGGGGTTCATCCTCTACCAGGGCGTCCTAAGTTGATAAGGAGTCTTTCGTGCACATCCGGAAGCACATCTGAGAGTAAACTAATAGCAAAATTCACTGCCGTCCTCGTATCAAACCAATCGCTTGACGGCAAATCTCTGTCTGACCCGCAAAGACGGCAACTGCCTGGGTTGGTGACGTCAACCGAGGAAGGCTTCGGCCAGTTCGGCCAAACTGACTTTGAGACTTCAGGGAAACACACTGTCTAAGCCAGCAAAACTCTGGAAGATAAAAGTTGTGCTTGGGTTCGCATAAAAGTGAAGACGGGCTGTACAAGTAAGTAAAACGAGTGGGACGCTTTCTTTTTACGTCGTATGTACTGATTGTTTCATGATTTCATACTTACATCGAACGTCTAGTGATAAGTGTGATGCTAGCTGTGCTCGAAATGATTGCATCGGTTAGAATGCATTGCACCGTACTGTATCTCCATTATCACCGTGTTTTATCGCACAAAGGGTCATCATAATACTATTTACTTATGTGAGATGTAATCAAAATGGTGCTGAAATATTGGTAAAACCTAGACCCTAGGTCATATTCGAACCAGCGGTAATCCTCTAGGGAGGCTCACGTGTAATCAACTGCTCCATCGAGGCTTATTCTTTACCATTCTGTCAGCAGTCGCAGGTTCCAGTCTGGGCTGGAATCCAAATTTTGCAAGCATCTCAGCACCATTGTGGTTGTATTTCTCATCATAACCTGCTACTAAAAAAGTAGGCACTAAATGAAAGATTGTGGATTATTATATAGTTGTAATGAATCCCAATTCTGATGGGAGTTTGAAGATTTTCACAGTAATTCTTTAATGCACTAATATTTTAGGGAAAGAGAAGTGATTGTTTCATTTTTGAAAATTTTTACACATCGCGAGCTCTAGCGTTTTTTAGAAATAGCAACATACTTTAGCAGGACAAGAAATTTGATTGTGTCGCAAAGAGCTAACTAGATCTCATGGCTTACTTTAAGCAGAAAGAACCCTTCGATCGTCGCTCATTCAAACAAAAAGTGATACTCTTTTGCTTGAAAGCTCACAGGCGTCACATCTGTGAGATTAAAGCAGATTTCCTAGAAATCGTGAAATTGAGCAATAATATCGTGTTTTTTTTGTTTATGTATAGGTCTGTTCGATTTTTCGAAAAGAGGTTAAGTTTCGTAGTGGTATTTCTTTTCGAGACAGCAACATTTTTAGTAGGAAGAACGCTTTCTGCATGCAACATCTAGCAGTTTTGATTGCTGTTTTCCTATTGGCTCTCTGCACTTCAACGAAAAGGTCTTGAAAAGGCTAAAGAAAACACATTTCTACCTGGATCAAAAGAGCTTTCTGGAGTGGATTTTCGGATACGTGATTTTTTATGAATTCAGGCAAACCGGCATGTGCGACGTAATATCAACGATCAATGCTTACATGTGTTTCTCTTAAGTATGACAATGGGAGATTTCATATTGACTGGTAATATTTTATTACTGTTCTAATAAAATTTCCCGATTTCTTTTTCTTGGCCACCAAAAACGGCTTAAAATACTCGTTGACTAGAAAGAAACCAAAAATTTTTCTATTGTGCCTTAAAATGAATAAATGTTGCTATTTTGTTCTTTTTTTGATTTAGCTGTATGCTATCCGATCGAGGCGATTTCACGAATACTTGATATAAGAAACAAGATGCCGATAATAATAAACATCACCGTACATTTTCTTACTTGGGTCGCCTTATCCGGTTCGAGCTTAAGCCTCATACTCCTTAATGTCGACAAATTACTCTATTTCAAATATCCATTAAGGTAATTTTCATTAACAGTTGGCATTTTTTTATTCAGCGATGATGATTTTGTCGACGAACATCGTTAGTCGGATTTATTCAAGCATTCTGAATGACCAAATTAATCGTGTCTTACTTAGATGTTTTGGTGATTATATTTAACTAGCCCGATAAGCTGATCCAATGATAATCGACGTAGCTTAGTGAAATGTGTGTTGATTGGTTTTCGTATTGATAATACGTGAATGACGCTTCAAGAAAATCCGTACCTCCTCCTTCCGACTTCTCTGGTCTTCTACTCGACAATGATCGTAATACTTTGGCTAAAAGGGTGGAACTAACTTAAATCAACCCTTATCCCTTCTTTATGTTTTTGAGGTCAAAACATCCACGTACTTCCGAAAAGAAATGTAACGCCCTTTAAGAAAAATGCTGCGGAAACCAAGGCACAAGTGACGACTCCTCAGTTTCCGTATAAATTTAAGGAATTGATAGTACCGTAACTTGAATAAGATTTCTTAACTCTGAAAAATCTTATGTTTTTTGTCTAGTTGACATGATACGTTTAATAGAAGTTGTTCAACTTTGAAGGATATTTCGACATATTTTTCCCTTTTCAGAGCCAAACGCGATTGCTCTGTTATCAATCGTATTGCAGATTTGTACAATAAAGTGCTTTCTTCATCTCATAGCGAAACTACAAATCTGAATACCTCTCACACTACAAATAACTTCTTTAGACGAAGTAGTTAGCGAGCGTTACTGTTCTGATCCATAAATTGCAAACGTACGGAAACACAACCCACCACTGAGTAGTCGTAAAGCATTGGCGTCTTATTCACGGGACAAATTCCCAATTAAGCAGCTTGAAAAAGTTAACTCAGAGATTTTTGTTATTAGCAATTTAAATGTATTGCACTTCCCTGAAAAAATTTTCTTTAACACTTCCCTAATTTTCTTAAAGCTTTTATAAGTTTTGTAAGCCTCCTGTGGGAAATAATCAGTAATTCACTGCTATCTTGACGAGCAAAGAGGAGGTTGTTCTTACATCACTTATTCATTCACATTATCTTACGTTTCGGCGGTTTCTCCTTCTTCAAGGTATAGAAAGGTCAAATTGACAAGCAGTCTACTCAACCAAGCAGTTTTGCAATCTTGGAAAAGACAAGAAATAAATTTTCATTCACCTAATGAGCAGCTTTCTTTAAACACACACCGTTTTCTTCTTCGTAACTCTTCCAATTATTTGATGGAGGCCAGCTGCACAGTGTCCTACATAGGCAAGGAATTTGCCCGGTTTAGGTCAAAGAATTCTAAAGTATGGTGTTAAGTCACCCATGATCACAAGTCATTTCTCGTTGCGGTTTTCACGCGCTAGCGTTTTAAATTCTTGTACAAAGATAGTGACTTTTCCTTCATAATCTTCTCCGTTATTCCTTTCTGCCGTCTACGTGCCTAATGGAGTGTTTTATGTAAGTTTCCTAACTAGATGTTTTTCATGCGGGCAAACAGCTGTTTGCATCTTTTGCCAACAAATTTATCTCTACATATTTTGCAAGGCCTATGCAAAGCAGGATGATCACCGACCAGATGCTCGAAGTTCTCAATGTCAAATCCTTGGCGCAAAGAGAAGAGAATGTTGCTCAAGAAGCTCATAGAGCAAACATGGCATAGCGGGCTTTTTGCATGGAACAGGGTGAAATGGAACACTTAAGGTCTCCCGCTCGTTTCATTCGACTATAAACGGCGCGGCAAGTGAAACACGAGGTGGTAATTGAACTAAAAGATTACAAGAATGCAAATTTCTCGACAAATCCTGAATCAATGCTTGATTGATGAAACCATTGCTGAATTGACAAAAAGGCTTCTATTCATGTAAACCTTTGAAAATAGGTGGTTTTCTTTTATTCGTTTTCGTTTCAGAATTCGAGGTTGATTTTCAGATATTCCACTTACGTCAAGCGATCTCGTGGTATTATGTCAGCTTTTTTGCTGTGGTCATGTTGTGTGCTCTTCGTTGCAGCTGCGTGGTACTTTGTCTGTTTTGAGTACGTCTATTCTATGCCTCGATTTACATAAATACATGCATTACCTCTATCCGCGAATCCTTAGGGCAGCAATATAGTCAAAGCTAGATGATAACGCCCTTTCTTTTTGGAGGGCCGAAATTTCCAATGGTGGTTTTGCAATTTGGAGACTAATTTCGTTAGGACGAGCTGCGCTTACTAGAATTGCCGAAGTTTTATCTGGCCGACCTTTCTAATGAAATGATTTAGCTCGTTCTCAGCTTAAGTGACTTTTCGTAGCACCTTCCCACTGCTTTGCACCACGCATAGACAGGAAATCTTCCGCAAACATCTACCATCGTCGATAAGGCAGTAAACAATTACAGGAATTCCCCAATTTACTCATAACACAAATTTTCCTCTGCAAGGTGAAATAACGTGAGTCATTATAAAAGCTAGACTTCATTTTTCCAATACTTTATGTAGATGAGTTGTATCAAAAACTTTTTGAAAAGCAGGATAAAATACTCCTGAGCAGTTACCCTAATTGACTCTGAAGAAAACAGGCTCTTTTTTATCCCGTGTTTCCTCCTTATTTTTACTCCATAAGAATTTTACACGTTTTGGTTAATTTCAGATGTGAGGATAACTGCGGTACAATTCACTTACTTCGGGAACGATGGGGAATGTATCTACTATTCTCAGTATGTAATCATGTTTTCGGAGACAAAGGGAAAGACGAGAAAACTGATAGATTTAAGACTAAAAATTTATTATAAGCGCAGAATTGTTGGAAATTCACTCGACCTTGAAAACACTGTTGTTGGTAGTCGTTATTCCCATAGTTATGAGCTTCTTTGTTGTTTGATTAGCACCAATATTATTATGGTCTATTTAATCTGATAATTATTAACGTTTCATTTTTTCTCCACAGCTAACAAGAAAACAAACAAAATTGCAGGTGAGCGTTTGTATAATGCCGACGTTGACGTCGTTGATTGTAGCAATTTACATTGTGAAGATCGTTTCATCACATAGGAAAAGGTTTAGGGAAGGTAAGCTAACTAAATTTCTGAGTGTATCCCAGTGGTTGGCGACGGCATGCACATGGTTGGCTCGAAGCCTCCTCTAAGATAATCAAATTCCGCTTGCTCCCTTCCGGAATCAAAAAATTGCCTCAGATCTGTTTCGGAGGATAAAAAACACTGGCGCGATATATCAGCAATCCACTGAGGGTTACTGTGTAGGGTAGGTATGCATTTAATCACCTTTAGAATTTTTTTCATTTTATGCGACCCGTTTTCACATCGACTGTGCGAATCTCAGCGCTTTTCACATTCGATTCGTTTCCTGCAATCCATAATTCAGTAAGGTCTTCCAACCTTTACTGTGTGGCTTCGGGTACTGTTTGATGATTTCTATTTCGTTTTGAATGCCGTAGAATGCTTTCGAGTCGATTCTCACTGGAGTCCTAAGATAGAAGGGCTTGAGCGTTTTTAATTGCATTGCAGACTGCGATTCTTTTCCGGACAACTCCGATAATATTTTTCCAAGCCCGAAAGGTTGACAGGCTTGGGGTTTTCGTATGGGTGGGCCCGGTACGAGATCGAACCATCACTGTACTCTTGACGACCGGAATCACTGCCAGGCAGACTGTGTATAATGGTGACTCAGGGTCTCTCAACTATTCAAATGGAAAGGAAAAGTTTCCAATTAAAATGAAAACTATACAGACTGGCATTGTACTCTTGAAGCTGGATAACCCAATTATTACACAAAGAAAATGTGCTCAATCTTTACGTCAAAAATCGCTTCAATGGGATCTCATGCATATTTGTTTCGCTTTCGTCAACACCTTCCACAAAGGGATAGAACACACAGTTCTTCAGATCTTTACATAAGGCTCTAATGCACTGAGAAAGACTTCGTTTTTTGCAGTGAAAAAATGAATCCGGATGGGATCGGCTTTAAAAATTTTTGACTACACCTTAAAAAAGCAGTGCTTTTGTTAAAAGAATAATTTTACGGCTTCTAGAACATGCACTCAACAACTCAGCCGGTCCAGTTCGTCAAGTACTCATAACGCGTTTTCGTACTGTTTATTTTACATTCGTGACCACTGCATTCACTGCTGCCACCTTATTACCGTTCAGAATCAGCTCCATTGTAACGAGTTTTAGTGATCAGCACGAGGTAAGAATGTGAATTCACTTTTGTTAATACGATCCTTCAAGTATTCATTTATAGCAGCACTCTTAAAAACAGTGCTAGTAAGAGTGCCTCTACAATACACACGTTGTCATTTGTTCATTTTTGAGCTACAAACCAGCAAATCGGTGCCAGGATTGTCTGATACGGTAAAAAAAACGCTGATTTGAGGTGCCAGAGCATGACAATCTTTCAAAAAACGACTTTATTTAAACCTCGGCATTGTTGGTCAACAAGTAGTTTTCTTCCAAAGCATTGCCGGGTAAAGTTACCTCGTTCTCAGTCCGATCACGAAGAGCCGCATCGGAAGAAGGAAAAACTGTAAAGGCTCAGATCAAACCGGCTATGAGGAAAGGAAGAGCACCAAAACCTAAGACTAATGTGTTTCTTTTTATCAACCTCGTATTAGCTTTCTTGTGGAAAGAATACATGTCGACTATCTAAGCTGAATTTGGAGAAAAACGGTTTTCGAAATTACTACAATAATGCTGAGATATTTGCAAAACTCCGGACCGCAGATGTCTACGGTGGGGAACGAACACGCCGTTACCCTTTCCTGGAGCTAATGCGTTCACCACCACCACACCATGCGGGTCCTTCGCTTCGCCTTTCTCTTAGCTAGGTCAGCATCACCCGTCAGCAGGATTGATCTAGGGATTCAATTCGGCAACGAGCCCAGTTAAGCTGAGGCTGTAGTCGAAATCACAACTTTAACTTTTTATTTACTGCCCAAGTCTTTTGGGTTTTCGACATATTTGAGACAGTTGCTAGAAGACTAAGAACAAATAGCGATTACACGAGGATTGACAACAACTTTAATATATCGAGGACGCCAGGGTTTGAGACTTAGTTAACAATATTCTAGTCAATGGAAACCGAAGGAGGGATGAGTGGATAAGATCAAGCTAGATAACAAAGTGTTGAAGAAGAGTTCAGGGATCTCTATGCGTCGCCTGAAGGAAAATTCACTTCTATGGGCTGTGACTAAATTTTAGCTAACGTTTGGACGAACAAAAATATTCACGTACAAGCAGGCTACGAAGCCTCTTAACAGTTGGGTCTCTACAAATGTGCAGATGCAAGGATACAAATTTGTGTAGCTTAACTGGAAGCTAATTTGATCCTTCGTATTTTTGTTGAGCAAACGCGAGGTGTTATTGATCTTTACTCACGAATAAGCTGACGTTTCGGCGGATTTCGCCTTCCTCAGGGCCGCTTTCTATGAGGTTTCCACTAAGTATGTCACGTAGAGACCAACCGCACAGAAATCACATGGAAGTATAATGTGATACTTATACTTCCGTTATACTTCCATGTGATTTCTGTGCGGTTGGTCTCTACATAACATACTTAGTGGAAACCTCATAGGAAGCGGTGAGTGTGCAAAGCTGTGTTCAAAGTGATTGAAATCTTGGTTTGGAGTTTCTTTGTTTGGTTATGGAGTTGTCTGGCGTAGTAGATTGCTATCAACTTGACCTTTCCAGGCTCTGAGGAAGGCGAAATCCGCCGAAACGTCAGCTTATTCGTGAATAAAGAATAATAACACCTCGCGCTTGCTCAACAAAAATACGAAGAATTACTTAATCAATGCCGAGGTTAATAGAAAGTCGGTCGTGGGAGTTACTGCTAATTTGATCGTTTCACGGCAGATTTGGGAAAGTATGTGCAGCTGACAGCTGCTCATCCAGCAGACGAAATTTTAGGCAGAGACGAGCAGTTCTTAGAAATAAATTACAGAGCACTTTCCACCCAGTTCTGAAACAAGAACATGAAATGAGAGCTTGTATAGAAGGTTTGTGTGAGAGCGATGCAGTTGCTTGCAGACATCGTTCGTTAGTTTGCGAAGAATATTTTTTTGCATACATGATGTTTCTCTACGCAAATGGTCAACACCGGCAGTTTTATCCTCTTATAGTTTTATCCTTAAATTTTAAGATAAGGTTACGCTGTGGGACTTCTTCTTTCCAATATTTGTCACTTCAAAAGCTATCTTTCAGCTCTCAGCATGTACTGGAAAACTATGGCGTTGGTTGATGGCGTATCTTATAAGTTTTAACGCGGTTCGTTTCGATTTTTGCTATTTATCGTTTCCTTACGTCTACTTTTACCATATGATATTACAAGTTTGAAAAAGCAAAGGCAAAAAGTCTGATTTTGATTTTCTTGGACCTTTGATGACAATCCGAGCCATACATGGATGACATACGTTATTTTAGCGTTATTTTTATACACATTCCTACAGTGTTACGTCAAAAAAGCAGTGAGAGTTTCTAGTTTTAAACCTCATACAGCCAACCTAAATAAAGCCTTCACTGCCAGAACGAAGGCCACCAAGATATCTAAAGTCTCGATTGATATTCTAAAGGCATTTAAATGGCCAACAGCGACTCAAATGTTGAAGAATCTTCAAACAAGTCGTTGACTGTGTGACTGAAAAAGTGGCAGTCTGTTAATGAGAGGTCTCGAAAGGGTTGAGCTCTTCGTTCAAATTCTCTGAAATTTTTGCAAAGTTTCTTTATGAAAAGATCATGTACCTCTTGATCAATCAATTCCGTGCATCATCTCTAGAAATTTTTGCTCAAAATCTTTTTTTTTCGTGTAGAATTCATTTACACTCAGCATTCACGGGAAGGTCAAGAAATATGTCGTTTCTCCTCGAAAAATGGGCCAGGAACGGTTCATGACGGTGATCTCGTTGCATTTTGATCAATGCGGTTCTTTGGTTTATCAAATGAATTATTGTGTTACGAAGTTTGTTCATTTTTTCAAAGGCACCTCACCCTTAGGTTTATCGTGGGAGATCCAGGCATTATCTGTGAATCTACTTCACTGTGCTTTCTCAAGTGGTCGTCGTCGACACTAGTGGCTTGTCTATCAACTTCCTCACAGAACATTCAGAGGTCTTAAATTTACCAACGACGTTGTAAAATTCAAAGTTGCACTGTAAGATGTTAACTTTTTCTTTCGAAATGTCTCAAACATATTGCAAGTGATTTTGAAAAATGAAGGAAATGGAAACAAACATATAAATTATAGCAGTAACTCCCACGACCGACTTTATATTAACCTCGGAATTGATCAAATAATTCTTCGTATTTTTGTTGAGCAAACGCGAGGTGTTATTATTCTTTATTCACGAATAAGCTAACGTTTCGGCGGATTTCGCCTTCCTCAGAGCCTGGAAAGGTCAAGTTGACAGCAATCTACTCGGCCAGACGCCTCCATAACCAAACAAAGAAACTCCAAACCAAGATCACTTTGAACACAGCTTTGCACACTCACCGCTTTCTATGAGGTTTCCACTAAGTATGTCACGTAGAGACCAACCGCACAGAAATCACATGGAAGTATAATGTGCCCCTCACACCAGAAAAGCAGTTTTATATACTGCTCTATATCACGCGTGATAATGAGGCATTCTTCCCTGCAGTTCATCGGATTTCTGGAATTAATCCAGCATGCCTCGAGAGTTTTTCGCGCCTATGTTCTTGATTCGCGTGCGAGGATCGTGACACATACTTCAAAGTCCTCCCCGTTATGTTTCTGGGTCCTATGCATGCCTAGCGGACTATTTGGTCTATGTTTGCCGGCTAGGTGTTCTTTTATGCGGACACAGAGGGGTCTGCCCGCTTCGCCAATGTATTCGTCACCGCACGTCTTACAGGAGATCTGCTAAACTATACCCGAGCTCATGCAATCACCGTTTCTACCACTGAGGCAAATTATGCAATTTTGCGTTGCACGTAGACGGTCATGTAGTCGGTTTACGAACTAGCTAGCGCCTAAGATTACTCGGTGAGATTTCAACTACGTTTACCGAATTTTCTAGACCCACCCTTCTTAAGCAGCGTTTTATAGCTGCACTTCCATTATTTGAGATGAAGGGTAGGATAAACGGGACCTTTTTGTCGCTAGTGTTACCGTTTGGAGGCCTCCGATTTTACCTACACGTATCCTGAGCTACAGTTTCGTAGCTATTAGAAATGGCTATTTGCCCTGCCAAGTTCCGGGACTCCTCTCTCTGCTCTCTTCCCGTGCACACGTTGGTTGCTGCTCGAAACATGTTTCTTACAAGCGCCCTTTTCGTGTGAGAGGGGTGAGAGGAGAGGTAATGAAGCAAGATGTTTTTACTACTTGGCTTTCGGTACCACTTTGTAATGAAGCCATTTTCTGATAGGTGCATTTGTACGTTCAGAAATGGAAGCCATTTTTCTTTCGGCTTTTCTCGGGTGAACTTGATGTACTCTGACTGTGCGTTTAACAATTCGAAACATTTGTCCATTTTTTCCTGTGTTGTACAAAGGACAAAACAGTCATATATCTACAGTAGAGTAGCGGCCCGAGATCAATCACCGGTGCTTCCACCTTAGATATAAACGCAATGGCGAGACTTGAGGTAAGTCGCTGTCCCATTGCCAACCCTCTTATTTGAGCGTAGTACTTTCTGGACAATCTGAAGATTGAGCAGCTCAAGCATTTTTTTAACAGTGCCATCAACTGCTCTATCTTAAAGCCATACATGTTTTTCTACTTCTGTTCAACAAGCACGAGGTGCTATTTTATTTCTTTATTTACGCACAAGCTGACGTTTCGGCGGATTTCGCCTTCCTCAGAGCTTGGAAGGGTCAAGTTGACAGCAATCCACTCGGCCAAACACCTCCATATCCAAACAGAGAAAACTCCAAACCAAGATTTCAATCACATTTAGCATAGCTCCGCACACTCACCGCTTTCTATGAGTCTTCCACTGACTATGTTGCGTTAAGACCGATCGCACAGAATTCACATGGAAGCGTAATGTGCCCCTCCCATCAGAATAACAGGTTTATATACTGTCCAATATCACCCGTGATAACAAGGCATTCCTCCCTGCGGTTCATTTTCGGATTCTTGGAATTAATCCAGAATGCCTCTAGAGTTTTGCGCTCTTGTGTTCTCGATTCTTGCGCGAGGATCGTAACCCTTACTTCAAAATCTTCTCCGTTGTGTCTCTGCGTGCTATGCGTACCTAGTGGATTACTTAGCTTACGTTTGCCGGCTAGGTGTTCTTTTATACGTACGCAGAGTGGTCTACCCGTTTCGCCAACGTATTCGTCCCCGCGCGCTTTACAAGAGATCAGATAGACTGTACCCGAACTCATGCAGTCACCGTCTCTACCATTGGGGCAAATTATGCAATTTTGCGTTGCACATAGACGGTCGTATAGGCGGTTACGAACTAGCTGGCGCCTTAGATTATTCGGTGGTATTTCGATTATCGTTACTGAATTCTCTAGACTGGCCCTTCTTAAACAGCGTTTTATAGCTGCACTTACTTCATTCGAAATAAAGAGCAGTATAAACGAGACATTGTTGTCGCTAGAGTTACCGTTGGGGTACCTGTGGTTTCCTCTACTTTTGTCTTAGTGACAGTGCTTCTTTTGCAAGTCGGAAATATCTTGCTGGTACATCTTGTAGTAAACATACATGTTTATTTTTTCTTTATGTTGTATAAGGAGTTCGAGTATAGCTTTCATTGCGGAGTTATTCGACACGTTTGTATAAAGAGTGGTAACGTCGAAGGATTACATCGCGTACGCGCTGTTGGGCTGCGCAGTACGTAGACGATCCAGAAACATCTGGGTATTCGTAAGATCGGCTGGAATGTGTTTCAACAGCTGGTTAAATGTTAGGGCTAAAAGCCATGTTATCCTGTTCGTTGGCCCGTCTACGCAGCTAATGATAGGTCTAACCTTAAGTAGTGATGGAACGGTAGACGCAAGATCATCGCTGGATACTAACTTATGAGTTTTTATAAGCAAGTACAAGACGGGAGATGTTGGTAAGTCAACTTTTAGTTGAGAGATGGTTTTAAACCAGCAGCCCTTACCATTTTGGCCCAATCGTGGCTTAATTTTCGGTATTTACTTTTAAATTCCTTCCCAGATGATGGGCGATAAAGCGAAGCATCTTCAAGATGCTTTTTCGTTATCTCCACATCTAACTGATGAGCAATTACGGCAAACTCTCCACCCTTATCACTAATGGATAGTCTTAAGGTTTCCAACCTTATCAGCTCTCTAACCTCTCGCATACCACGTTTTTGCACTTCAGTGAGGTTTGAGCTGTATCTTTTCGCGCGATAGTGATTAAGGACTTTGAGAGCTTCATTCGCAAACATCCGAAAATTAACATCAACTTCATTATTGGGCTCTTGTTGTCTAAAGAACGGCTGAGGAAATGGTACTATTGGTAGGGCCTCCACTTGGAGCCGTTCGCACCTAATTCGCGCTTCATCTCTGGATTTTTGCGGAGTCTACCTTGAAGTTCATGTAAACCACATGCGAACCTACGCAAGGTTATCTTAAAATGGGTTCAGATGGTGAGAAACTCGGACCCAATTCTAATAACGAGAGCGCACCGTCAGGGAGAGTCATGCCTCCTAACACGGTTAGCCCTGAATTTTCTTGCACATTACCTATCCTAAAATACTTTATTACATAATAACCCTTTAGTATGGTCAGAAATACTGTGCAATACGAGGTCGGTCGCTTGTTCTACTTGGTTCTAGGTGAAGTACACTCTCTCTTTGTGGTCGGCGAGTTACTATAAGAGTTTTCTAGCGATTGATCCTACCGATATTTAAACGCTTTACTTTTTCAATGCTGAAGACCTTAGGACGTTCCAGGCCGACTATTCCAGTTTTTCCAACACCCTTATGAACGACTGAAGAGGTAAAACGGACATACTTTGAAAAAGTGCTGGCTTTGCAAAAAGTGTAAATACAGATCATATAAACAGATTCATGAGTAGATCTATTTGATAGTTGATGTTTAAAAGTTTAATTTGAATCTGAATAAAAAAATATGTGCACCCGCTGAACTTCTCATAGAGAAATGTGATTCGTAACAAACAATTCAAACTAATTCGAGTCCAACTCCTGTACGATGCTCTAAATGGAACATTTGCCTAGACAGATGTTGAAGAATTCTAGTGTGTTCTACGGGCGGTGAAACCTAAAAACACTTTGGCTTTTCGTGAGTCGGAAGTCTTCTTCAATCCGATCAACGAGAGGGATTGCTAAATGTCATATTGTTCAGGCAATTTTCCAGAGAAGCTCACCAAGTTATTGTATTAGGTTGCTTGGAAATTAATGTCCGATTTGTAGTTTTCTATTTACAGTATATGTTTCATTAATAATTTTTTAGAATGTTGTCCTATCACATATTATTGCGAAATTCGTTGTTTTTAATCCTAGGTGTCAAAACATCAGTTTCGACATATCTAATTCCACGAATTCAAACTCATAGAGTTGCTGAGCAAACGCCTCGAAGTAGTAGATACGGGGCCAAGAAAGAGTTAACGAGCTCACATTGCAACTTTCGTTTAAAACATTTCCTTATGGAGAATCCAATCTTGAAGTTGATGAAGGTAACGGATGTTCTTCTGCTATCGACAACGACGAATTGAAGGTTCCAGTGTTAACAAATATACATACTTTCTTCAAAGAATTTCAAAACAACTTAGTGTATACATCTCAAGCGACATATTAAAAAAAACTGAAGAGCGTAGGAACTTCGACAAAGAGGCGCCGCATGAATCGAATGACGATAAGAAACACTATTTTGAGGTGACGACATTTTTGTGGCGCTCCTTCTTCGCAACTTGAAGGAATTATTTCTCGACACCTTTGTGAGTTCTGGTAAGAAGTGAAATATCATCGGCGATCAACTTAATCGTTGGACTAAAACGAGGCTTCACAACAGTTCCCAAAGACGAACTGGTGGGAAAGAAGGTCATGCTGACCGTTTGGTGTTCTACACATCGTTTGATTTACCACAGCTCCCTTAATCCTGGTGAAATAATTATGGGCAAAAATCACGTTCAAAAAGTTAGCGGAATCCACCAGAAACCTCAAGCCGTACCACTATTCAACAGAAAAGCACTAATCCTTCTCTAGGGTAAGCTGCGATGCGTCTAAAAACCGATTCTGCGTAGGTTGTACGAGTTGGGCTGCGAAACTCTATCAACCATCATGCTTGGCAGACTTGTCCGCTACTGAATACTACCTCTTCAAACATCGCGGTATCTTCCGGTGCGAGAAATGCTTCAAAATGCGTCCAACAACTTTGTCGCACCCAGAAGTCTAGAATTTTACGCAACCGGTGGAAGTAAACTTGTTTTTCTTGGCGAAAAGAGACGTTTTATTTCCAGCGATTACTATTTCCTTTATGAAAATACGGGTTGAAATCAGGTATTATTTTCTGTAAACCTAAAAGTGCACGTAGTCACCTTTCGGCTATCATTTGGTAATGATCATTTTGTATACAAAGCAGTGAATTGCTCATAAGCGGAGACTTGTTCGATTTTTTCGTTTTGATTAGGTTGGTGGAGCACTGACGCTGACATTGTCATTTGTTGGTCTCCAAACAGACATGAAGTGCTGAAAAATGTTTAGCATAACCGTGTCACTTCTTTCTCTATCAATCTCCTATTTCCTTCTATTCTCTTCAGTAATCACGGTGCCAAGAAATTCGTCGAGAACAAAAAGTGGTGGAGTGTGGAATTCTGTTTTCTTTGGAAAAATGTAATAGAAATGCTTTCAGTGGTTGTCTGTTCGGTTGAGGTAATAATGCACTTCTGAGCAACCAGTTAATCTCATCATTTGTTTTTGTTTCGTTCTCTTGTTTATTTCCAACAGTCCGTTTAGTCTGCTTTTGTAGCTGCTTTAAAGCAATCCATCTCGTATGATGCCGATTTATAATTTCACTTGCTGAAAGCGTTCGTGCTCCGGAGCATCTTCTAGTTGGCGAAAACTATGAAACCATACAAAATTTGTTAAGTTGTAATATGAAATGTCCGATTTTAAATATGAACTTCAAATAACCATAAGTTTTTTCGTAATAAATTTCATTAATCGAAACAAGTACTGTAGTCAGCACTTTTTTTCCAATAAGAACAAGTACTGTGACTTCATTAATATAAAAATTGCCGGTTCTAGTGTGCTATCCCTAATGTACTAATACAATCTTAAGCACTACTTCGCCTTTTTCAGTTGTGTAATTTTATAAAGTTAAAGAAAACAAAACGAATATCGATTAGTTGTTGATGTTCAGATTTTCAATCCACTGATTACGGTGACTGTATTGCCACAATATCGTTGTCGACTTTTCGGTCGTGTTCTGGGTGCTGCCAATACCGAATTGAAAACTGTAGAGTTATGAATGTTTTATCTAAGTAAATTGCTATTTTTCATCGCCATTGGTAACTGATAACTAGAAATCTGATAGAGTTTCAGCATTTGAACTGATATTGATTTCATTAGGTTTTTTCTTTCTGGAAACACTCGTGATACAAGTTTTTTTTGTGCAGATAAAGACCAGAACGTAAAGTTTGAATCCGATTCACTTTACCTAACAACGATAGGTGTTTACTGACCACAGGTGTATCACAAAGTTACTGCTGTTAAACACTGCTGTGTGATAACGGATGTCCTATCTCCAATGTATATTGTATTTTTTTTTGATAAAAATACATTGAAATACACCATAAGAAACTGGCGTTCACAGTTGTGTACATAAATATAACACCTACAGAAATTCTATTTAGTTAATGGTTGAGAATAGAGTGAATTTTCAAAATAGAAAGAAAGTTGAGTGTTGTCCTTCAAGTTTTCTTTCGCAGCTGTCGTTTACTAGGCATTATTAATAGTTGTGTTTTCAACTATAGGATAAATTACATGGTTCTCCGATGGTCGAAAACGACCGATCCGTCTAACTAGAGAATTCGTGTGCTTCTCGGAGAACAGAATTTTAAGGTACGATCGAGTCGTTGTGTCTCACGAAACCAAAGAAAACTTTTGGCTTTTCATTATGGCAATATTTCTTTAAAGTGGTTCAAGTGTAAATAACAACTGTTTTTTTAAGATGTTTTCTTTCGATTACAAAGGGTTAATTAAGGTGCGGAAAACACCATCTCTAGGACAACTTGATAGTTCTCATTTAAAAAAAATTCTTCACTAGTTTCTGCATTAAAGAGACGGTCATTCATTGGAAGATTAGCCTCTTCTGTACTAAAGGAGTAAAAAAACATTCGTTCAGAAGATAGTTAAATAAACACGACACTAACCCACCTTTGGCATTTCGCGAGAGAAGACGTTTCAAAATAAGGAAGCAACCCTTCTTCAACATTCGTTTAAGTTCATTATGTGTCACGATAGCAATGGGCTTCCTAGAGGATTTAAATATAAGTGTAAAAGCAGTACTTTAGTTCTTGTGAGCGAAATATCTTCAACTTAAATGGATTAACCCAATTTTGCCACACGTAAGTGGTTTTCACTCCAAAGCCTTACAGCTTATAGCGTACTTTCTATTTAAGTACTATGCCAGTGAAAGAGCAAGATGTCTTGCAGGCACTGGTGTGGTACTCATGTTGTGTCAGTTACAGGTCTTCTCCAGCCCATAAATTCACGACCGCTTTTGATCAAGAGAAGTATAGGACTTTGCTACTTGATCCTCAAGAAGACGACCACAAACCTTTATTTGCTTTTCTCTGAGTATGGAAAACACAGGACTTACAACAAGTCATAAGCACCATCTTGTTGCAATAAGCTCAAAATAGTCATAGATAAGTTCTTTCGGCAGGTAACTGCCTGAAAAGTCAAAAAAAATTTCAGGTTACCGTTACTAACTTAGAAACGGATTAAACGACCGAACCGAGACCTCTGCAAGCTATAAATTGTACAAATAGGAATTTGTTCTTCTCTTTGGCAACTAGCATTCAAATCCATAATTTTAAAACTAGATCTTGTGCCGATCTTCCACGCATTTGTTGCCAAGGTTTGCACACTTATTTGTTATAAAGGTCGTGGAGTTAACGAGTGGACATGAATGAATGAATCATGAGGATGAAACTCACATTGCTTCGACGTATACGCTAGCATATGGTTTGTAGCCAATTCTCTTACTCCTCTTTGTAAGTCAAGAAAAAAACCTCAAATGCTATTCTATTAATTTCACAACACTTGAAATGATGAAAACAAGAAAAACTCAAGAAAAAAAACATTTGCAACTAGTCCTGTTAAACAACAGTCAACGTATAGTACCTCAACAATGACTTTATAATGGACATAATCCTTGGTTTAAGTCTCTCGCTGACGGATTGAAACAAATAGATAGATAAGCTGCATCTAAAATAGAAATATCCAGTTCAATTTTATGCATAGGTATTCCAAAGCGGAAGGTTAAAAAAACACCTGTTCCAGGTAACATACGTAGACTGGTCGTTTTTAGAAGCGCACGGCTGACACAACAATCTGGGAACCTAAAACACATTCTTTTGCAGTCTTCTATTATTTGAAGTTTTCCTAATGCTTGGAACTAGCACAGTTTGACTATCCGCGAATACTATTTTGTCGAATTAAAGCGACACATTCACGGCGTACCACAAGCTATGAAAATTTTCCTCAAGCAAACACAGCAGGGTACAAGTCAGACTTCCTCAGACACAAGAGGACGAGCAAGGGCAAGTTACGTGAAATCCTATCACGTTATTTAGATATCACCAAGATGTGGTCCATACCAGAAAACTTCACTTATCAATCTCCGAAGGTGTAGACGAATTAGAAGCTTTTTGTGACTGTCCAAAAATGATTTCAGCAAAAAGAAAATAGCTCCACAACTTTTAAGACGGAGACGGATGAACTAACATAGAAGATCAAAATAAATAAGAATACAGACCGTGCCGCTTTCATAAAGATTCATCCTCTAGGAACTGAAGCGATTTCGCGGTAACGACCATCACTTCTCAGAAAACGAGTCTGGATGTTATCTCCACCACCGTTATGGTGTTACCCGAAGAAAGAACTTGAGGCTTGGTCAGACTACAACGTAGCACGAATATTATCAGAAAGTTCTGATTTCCGAATTACAATTGTAAAAAAGCAAAATTTTCTATTTATGGCGAAAGAAAACCTCTACTTGAAATCATTAGTGCTTTTGCCAGGACAGTTCACTGTTGGAGAGAAATGAAATAACATTTCGAGAGACAGAATGGTGAACAAAGACGATCGAGCGGGTTTTCTTCGGTGCTTTCGTCCGACTTCCTTATTGAGCGCATTCAGCAATCTTTTACGAGAATTACCTTATTCCACATAAAAAGCAGTTTAACAAACTCATTCAGTTAAACTAACAAAATTCTGCGAAAGATTTTATAAGGCGGCTTACACTCAAACTATAGTCCAGTCTACAGAGAAGTGGCAGGAATACAGCTGCCTTCTCTCTTCGCCTTTTGTTTGAAAAAGGTAGTTGAAGCTGCCGAAGTTGAACACCATTCCATGATCAACTAGCTATCTTCCAGCAAATGAAGGAGACTATCGCAAGTATATCATTACAGTGTCCCACTAGTCCCCCACTGCTCAATTTGAAAGTGCGTCAAGTGGGGTGGTAGTACCTCATTAAAGCTGTTTCATTTCAACGATACGGTGATTTGTGAGTTGGCGAGATTAAAATCAAGCATGGGCATGCAGTCAAGAAAGAATCCTATCAAATGTCTGACAACATCGTCATATTGTCGATTGTCACCAGTGAAGCGCAGATGAAGCCGAAAGATGTCAAGGATGCAGGGAAAAAGATAGGACCATATGAATAAGATTGACAAAGCACTAAATTCTTCAAAAACTTTTGCTCTGGAGGAGAACAAATTGAGATGAATGATTTTCAGGTTACTCATTTCTTCATACCTCAGCTTACATATAGAATGATGATACGTTTTTACATAAATGCGAGCAAAGCATGAGGAATGTTTTCGTAGTCGCATTATTAACCTACAATTGGTGATGTTTTTTATCGAAACAATACACATACATCCAAGGATTTACGAACCCTCTCATAAAAGGGATCTCGACCCTGTTAGTTAAAAGGTTACCTGCCGTGTCGACAGGTGGGAGAAAGGGGGTAAATCGAGCACCAAAAGCGACTTCTGCTTCCCTGAGACGCCGGTGGATTCAGGGGCTGGACTCCCTGTTTCTGCTGCGCAGCTTGGCACACACTCTGTATTTATGAGGCGTATCCATGCATTCGTGGGTAGGTGCGCACTCCTTATGTGGATTGTATTCTACGTTGGAAAAGAACTGTTCCTCAGAAAATGCAACAGCAGAGAAGACGGCGCGGTTAGCGTTCTCGTCCGCACGAACTTGGCCGTGTACATTGATTCATTCGAATAACTAACAAACCGAATCGGACGTTTACTACTAAAAAAATTAAGAACAATACCGCCTTCGACAATCTTTGCCTTCTACGTCCCGACATTAACCAGTGACAATGCAGACAGGCGATAAAGGAGGATCTTAAAAAGAGAAGACGCAGTCAAAGCGTTCTGTATGTAGTTGGTGAAGTTCCTCAGGAAAAACTATGACTAAGAAGAAGCCGATGCGTTCTATACGGACTTGTAGCAGTTCTACAGAGAAGACCACAAGATTGGACCAAGAAGATGGTCTGAGAAACGTCACATTGGAACACAGGGATTAGAATGGAACGAACAGGGTGAGTGGGTGTCTGAGTTTATCATGGCGACCAAGACAATCCATGGTAATTCGCAATTCCAGAGGTCCCAAACTCAACGCTGGACATGGGAGTATTCCAATGGAGAGTACCACAACGAAATGGACCACTTTATAGTAAATAGAAGGTTTTCCCTAGCGGATGTCGCTGTCGTCCCAAAATTCTACACGGAATCAGATCATCGTCTCCTTCGTGCAAGCTTCTATTTCTCGAGGAAAATAGAAAAAGCCGCTAAATTCCAAAACAGAAGCCCAGGAACCACTGTAAACTGCGATTTATTCAATTCACTAGTCGGCTGTTGGGAAGACGCCGTTGTCGACAACATCGACGAAGAATACGATCGACTCATTCAACATCTTCACATTAGCGCTGTAAAAGCTGAGAGTTCGAAAGTCACCAAGAGATGATTGTCTCCAGAAACACTCGAGCTGATACATCAGCGTGGAATCGCACGAGCTGTCGGCAACCGCGAACTAACGCCCGAACTTGCAAAACAATGCAGACAGGCGATAAAGGAGGATCTTAAAAAGAGAAGAGCAGCAGTAATGGTCGAAGTTGCAGAGGCGGGGAAAAGCATTCGCAAAGCCCACCGAAGATTCGCCAATTACAAGACCAAAATAATTGCACTGCAGCGCCCAGACGAAACAGTTACAGCGTCCAGAAAGGCAATGGAGAAAATCATTCACGAATACTACTCGGATCTCTTCGATAGCCACGCCCACCTTCCGTCAAATGAAATAAAGGAAAATGGGTATATTGTACCACCGGTCCTCTCTTCCGAAATCCGACATGCGATTTCGTCGGTGAAAAATCCAACAGCACCAGGTCCGGACAGGATAAGACCAGAACGCCTGAAGAACCTTCCGCCAGTCCTCGCAAACACACTGGCTCCGCTCTTCACGAGTTACCTATCTGAATGTGAGGTCCCTACTCGATGGAAGACCAGGAAGACCGTGCTAATGTTCAAGAAGGGTGTACTCCACGATGCCGGCACTTTCTGCTTGCTGTCTGTCATCTACAAACTTTTCACTCGATTCATCCTAAACGGAATTGACAAACCACTGGACGAAGGGCAGCCAAGGAGCAAGCAGGGTTACGAAAAAAATTGGGTCCGATGGACGACATCCACACGATAACAAAACTCACTGAAGTATCGCGAGAGTACAAAAGACCGCTGTCTCACTTTGATCGATTTGAAGAACACCCTTGAATCAACTGAGACAGAAGCAATCATGGAAGCCCTTGATAGTCAGGGAGTCCCTACTAAGTCTATAAAGATGATTGCTGTGGCAAAAAGATCGATAGAAATAGCTGAGAGACGTGCGAAACAAAGAACCCGCATGGTGTGGTGGTGAACGCGTTACTCCCCGGAAAGGATAATAGCGCGTTCGTTCCCCACCATAGACACCTGCGGTCTAGAGTTTTGCAAATATCTCAGCAACGTTGTGGTTGTATTTCGCTTAGTAACCTGCCATGAAAATTATAGAAGGCAGAAAACAAAACGTTAAACATCTATAAAGATCCTTCGTGAGTTGTATAAAAATTCCACAACCAAAATATCACTATTCTACAACGATATTAACATCGACATCAAAAGAGGGATTAGGCAAGGCGATAATATGTCGCGAAAATCATTTACCGCCACCCTCGAGAAATTCATGCGAACATTGAAATGGGATAACATGGGAGTAAAAGTCGATGGTCAGAAACTACACCATCTTCGCTTTGCTGATGACATCGTTCTAATAACACCAAACATTAGGCACGCGCAACGAATGCTTGTCGACTTTGATAAAGCCTGTGGAAGGATTGGCCTTCCACCAAATCTCACAAAAACGACGTTCATGAGCAACGGATTGGTTTCGTATGCCCCATTCACGTTCAAAGAAACTATTATCTCCGATTGTTCCTGTTACTTTTATCTAGGTCGGAAAATCAACAAGAATAACTGAGCTCCATAGTTGGTCGGAAAGAAAAGAGAGGCTTGGAGAGCTTTCATGAGCATCGATGACGTAGTGACGAGAAAAGAGAACACTAGACCCCGCGCCCAGCTTTTCGACTCCGCGACACTTCATGCTTTAACGGCTGCATCAGACACCTGGTCGATGCGTTAGCAGGATGAAAGATCACTTAATTGAACGAGCAGTTGAAAGAACGGTGCTAGAAATCTCTCTTATCACGCAAATGAGGGAAAGGATCTGAAGCTCCTACCTGCGTCCACAGTCAAAAAGCGAAGATGCCGTTCTGTACGCTAAACAGTCGAAGATAAGTTGGGTCGGGCACGCAGTGCGTGTGAACAACAACCGATGGACAAGAGCCATTAGAGACTTCATTCCTCGAAATGTCAAACGTACTGTAGGAGGATCACCGACCCGTTGGTCAGAGTTCTTCACAAAAACGCTAGATATGGTGCTTAGCAAGTCCTTAGAGCGAGCAGAACCCACTGGGCTACTACTATGTGCGACAGTGATAAATGGAAGGTATACCGAGACTCGCGTAAGTCAATAGACGATCAAAGGGACTGCAGGTGATAAAGGTAAGATGATATCAAAGGACCCTCCTGTCACCTAATTTATTTTTTCAATTATAACATATCCCAACAACACATTTATCACACTCCCTTGTCAAAGTTGTCCACTCCCTTCCAACATCCACGAAAATCTTCAAACCTTCCTGCTTGTGGCTTTGGCTACTGCTTGACACTTCTCTATTATTTGTCATAAATGCCGATGAATGCTGGTCGAGTTGATGCTCCCTGGAATCCTGAGGTAGTCTGCTAGAGCACTCCTACCAGACTAAGAGGGTGTCAACTTGTTCCAGACAATTCTGCTACCAGTTTCCCGAGCTCAGAGGAATCGAAGGCTTGCCTCTACAGGGTGGCATCGAATCAGCGTCTGGATGGTTTGGGCCGTCCGCGTAATGAACGGGTTCACAAGCACTGTGTCACCCGACCACCTAGTACTAATAATAATAGATCAAGAGAGGTCATTAACGTCACATAATACCATTTGTAAAGATACGAAGCAAACCTGCTCTTGTAAGCACTTTCTGTGAAATCAAGTGCTTAATTATGCGAAAGAAATAAATCTAGCCTCCGTGCAGGAATTCACAAAACCTAAATCTTGAACCAATCAGCGATAGGGTGCAGCTACATGTAATGCGAGTTTCCAATTAGTTTTAAATNTTCACAAGCACTGTGTCACCCGACCACCTAGTACTAATAATAATAGATCAAGAGAGGTCATTAACGTCACATAATACCATTTGTAAAGATACGAAGCAAACCTGCTCTTGTAAGCACTTTCTGTGAAATCAAGTGCTTAATTATGCGAAAGAAATAAATCTAGCCTCCGTGCAGGAATTCACAAAACCTAAATCTTGAACCAATCAGCGATAGGGTGCAGCTACATGTAATGCGAGTTTCCAATTAGTTTTAAATTTAATCCTTCTGCACATAAAAATGCATACTGTCTATAATTAACTGCATCATGTATTTGCTACAGAATATTATTATCATCACAATTAAGCTATTACGACACCACTTAGCTGCCTATTCAAACCATTATTGCAGATAAGTATGTAAGCATCAAGTAAAATAAATGATCACTAGGCGTGCAGGACACTTACTTCACCTAATGCCGTCAAACCAGTCCAACAGATCCCCTCCTCATCGTCGTCATTACCATGCACCATCGTGCCACCAGGAGACACTGTAACTACGTACCGTTAGAAAAAATGAAACAGAAATATAATTAAGCGTCAACGAGAACCATGCAAATATCCAATTTCCCACGAAGGCGCTTTTTCTATCACGTACTAATACATCACAGTATGCAGTCAACACATGTCTCCACAAGTTGCAAATCCTCGTTTAATTATCTTTCCATTCAAACTGACCGCTATGCCCTTGCACGTCCAAAAAATGAGACTTTTAATAAACACTCACTGTTCTCATCAGTCACATCGATAACAGCTTCATCAACTTCAAGTCCTATCATCTCATATTCACCTAAAAATCATCGTTGGTATAAAATGGTAACCAAAGCCAAAACAAGGATCACAATTACATTTAAATAGGGATTATCCCAAGTTGATTGCTATGTCTTTGCACGTCTAAAAAATGAAACTTTTAGTAAACACCAACCAATTTCACCGACGTTAATGTCTCCTCCAAACTGGGGCCGCATCGCCTCACCTTCATCTAAAAATTATCGTTAGTATAAAAGGGTAGTCAAATCCAGAACGACGATCACAGTTATAACCACAATGATTCTGTGAGTTACTGTGAGTGGTGAGTTACTTGCGAAACTCCGAAATAAAAATGTTTGCGGTGGAATCAAACCTGATATTACCGTTTCAGGGGCTAACCTCTTCACCGCCACTCCATGCGGGTCCTCCGTTTCGGCTCCCTCTGAGCGGCGTTCGTAACCTATAGGTGCTATCAGCAATCACCTTCAAAAGGATTGAACTGGGAAGCACAAATCAGCATTGAACCTAGTTAAGCTGAAGCTTTAGTATAAAACACAATGTAATCACTTTTGATTTACTGCCTATCCTTTTTTCGTGGCAGGATACGAAGGACCCTCACGATGCGGTGGTGAACACGCTAGCGCCCTGAAAGGGTAATAGCTGGTTCAATCTCCATTGCGGACACCTGCAGCCTGGAGTTTTGCAAATATCTCGGGATCACTGAGGTTATATTTCACATCATACCTTGTCATGAAAAAAAATAGAGAGTAAGTAAAAGGTGACTAAACTAAAACCAAAATAAAGACCACAAACATATATTCATAAGCATTATGCCATTAGCGAGGGAATTCTATTGAAGAAGCCCTGAACTACCGCTGTAAGGGTGCAATCAAATTTTCTTGAACGAAGAAAAACGATAAATACTAACTAATCATCCTGAATATGTTGAAGGAAGAGCAGCTACTTGCTGCCACATCTTCTTCCAAGCGCGGGATGATGAAAGGAAAGACTTTTTCATTGGATGTGGAGGGTTTACGGGATGGAGACGGCATACTGCAATCACATTACCACAAAATATTTATAAGCAGCATATGAATAGCAGCAGTTATGCGTATACTGATCAATAATGCAACCGATACAATGAGTGGCAACCACTCATTACATCTATCAAAAACATTTAAAGAAAACCAAAATCCAGAATCTTCAGAACAGTAATGCAATATGAACAGAACCAAGGAGTAAGGAAGAAGCCAATACTAAGCTCGATGCGACTACGAGCATCCACATCGCCATGTTGACTTGTTGTAGATCATGGACTCGGATCAATGCGGCTCGAGGAAGGCGAGGGCGACGAAATGCTTGCCGAATAGAAATTTATGCCAACCTCGTGTTAGCTCAGTCATAAAGAACACTGCTGATTACTGTTACCGATGTTCTACTAAAGTCGGATTGTAGGATAGCGATGTTATAATTGCACCGTACTACACAATGCACGACTCTTACTTAGCACTATCAACACCAAAAGCAATTGAAGCTATCAAATCTTTACCCTTTTGCCACTGAATATATCAGCGTCCAAGGGTAATAGTGCGTTCGTTCCCCATCGCAGACACCTGCGCTCCTCCGGAGTTTTGCAAATATCTCAGTATCATTGTGATTGTTTCACAAATAATACCCTGCCGTGAAGACTTATAAGAAGCAGTAAATAAAGGTCAACATTGGGGGAATAGTTGCTACATTTATATGGATATCAGAGAATTGGATTCAATCATTTATTCACCCAATGGCCAGCAGTTTCAAGCACGATTTCTGCTAGGGAACAACGTCCACGACTGTCAAATGAAAGAGTCAAACGCATTTTGGATTTCCGTTAATAAAAAACTATCCTAAATGCAAAAAATGCTCAAAGTTCTGCAGTACGACGACTGGGGCATCTTCAGGGCAAGGTTGTTCCTTCCAGTAACAGTGAAAAGGAGATTTTCATTATCTCACTCCTTTAACTCCCAGTATTGTTACCACTGCGGAATCGTTCATCTTGGACATCATTTCCTCCAATATAATCACGTTCACGAGACCCTATGAAAAAATTAAGCTATAAATACCCGTTATCACAAAAAGTGTTATTCTATGCATTCTCACATGTTATTCTTACGGATGCTTGAGCATTTCTGAGATCGTTGTGGGTTATTTGAACAACCTCCCAACGACTTTTGTCATACATCATAATTGGCGAGTTGAATAAATGACATGAAATTAAAGTGTAGTACTGTTATAGATGCATGCCTTCAACGGTGAGATCCAAAGGAATGGATCTCTAGCTCATTTGACAGCGCCTGTATTCGTTATTTGCTTTACTGAAGTTCTACTGTCAACAGGTAGTCGCAAATAGGTGAGAAGTGAGCAATTCATCTTCTTAGTCATTAAACAGCATTGTTAGAATGACATACATACTAATGATTTACGCCATGCAAGCATTTGGCTTTACTAAGCATGTGCTAAGGGGTACGACCTTTCAAAAAACAGTCTTCGTTATCACAGCAAGCAATTTAAACAGAAAAATTCCAACTTTAGATTCCAATTTATTTATTTCCTACTCCCTATTTTGTAAAGTCCTTCCGCAGACTTGGTAAGTGATAATGATGAGTAAGAGGAACTTAATCGTCCGCCCACTTCAAACACGAAGTGGGCTCCATGTAGTTTCAGGGCGCTTCTAGAGATCGTCTCGGTAGTTCTTCAGAAGAAGTGCGTCGCCATTCGGAATGGATAATTTAACATAAAAATGAATGCACTGATGAGCTTCTCCAAAAAAGAAATTCACAAGTTACGACGAGGCACTGCCACGCACTCAATGAACGTACCAGTGTAACGACGCGCTTGTGTTGTTCGCGTAGAAGTTTTGAAACTAGCTGTAGCAAGTTTACGTTAACATGAAGCGCTTACTAGAAAAAAACGTGTGGATCAGTGCAAATGCTCGAAAGTAACGAGTGACATACATTCAACTGTTATTAGTTATCAACACTACTCATCATGTATTGCAATCAAACTGTTCCAAGTACTACAATCATTTCACTTAAAATCGTTGTTATTGCAGAGGCGAAGATTTATCCCAAATGGGAAGCTCGATGTTGGCTATTCCTATGGAACAGCTCTTTTGTAGCAAATATCTCTAATATGCAGATACAGTTTGTCGAACAGAAAGGGCCCGCGTAGTGGCAGACGAAATCACATGTGGGCACAAAGCACTGGACATGAGTAGTCCGACTATAGAGAACATTCTTTACGAATATTGGAATGTTCTCTATGTAAATTAATTATAACCTTATGTCAAACATTTTCGAATACGGTTTCCGGTGACCTTTTCTCCATGACGATCTGATAACCTTATGTCAAACATTTTCGAATACGGCTTCCGGTGACCTTATGACTAACATTTCGTCGGCGGTTATCTCATGAAAAACATCTGCGGTTACAGTCGTATGCTTTGACTATCGCCTTATCAGATTGCAACGCTTGTGAAATGTTTCCGGTAGCCGTCCTTCCGCATACTGTAGCCTGACTCCACCTACTGTAACCCCACTCCACCTACTGTAACGCGACTCCGCCTATTGTAGCCTGACTCCGCCCAACACAAACGGTATATAAACGGCTCCACGGCTGACTAGCTCAGGTCACAGCAATGCTGCCCAAATCACCATATCCTTTCCTCGCATTGATCTCATGTGGTCGAAGTCTTATGACAACCTCTTCACTCTTGAGCAACCAGAACACAAGAAATCAGGCTGCGCCTATTCATTGCTTGTATCATTGTTGTATTAATTGTACAGTTGTATTGTTATGCCATAATTGTTGTATAATTATGATAAACGGTTTAATTACCCAAGTTTGAGGTTTCCGGCATTGTGACTACTACTTACAAGAAGTCCCGCGTGGCATACACAAAGGCGAGCAGCAAATTCCGACCGAATCATCTTAACTACTTGGTATTCCTATATAATCTAGCCATCNATGTGGTCGAAGTCTTATGACAACCTCTTCACTCTTGAGCAACCAGAACACAAGAAATCAGGCTGCGCCTATTCATTGCTTGTATCATTGTTGTATTAATTGTACAGTTGTATTGTTATGCCATAATTGTTGTATAATTATGATAAACGGTTTAATTACCCAAGTTTGAGGTTTCCGGCATTGTGACTACTACTTACAAGAAGTCCCGCGTGGCATACACAAAGGCGAGCAGCAAATTCCGACCGAATCATCTTAACTACTTGGTATTCCTATATAATCTAGCCATCCCACCATACCGACAGAGTAGTTTATTGTCTCCCAAGACTTGCCAGGAGAATCATAACTAATATAATAAGCTCGTCAGATGCTCGGTAACAGCAACGACCAGCATAAGGATCCACCTTTCTGATGGGAAATCAAGAACCGGCTATCCGAGTGTCCGCAAACAGGTGAACATGGTTCACGGATATGGAGTGACGACATCTGACCGACCGTGACTTGTTACCAGTTGCCTTCAACGACTGGAAGATGTGTCAGAAGAAGATCACCATCGTTCTTGCGTAGTTGGAGATACTCGTTGCGCTTCTTAGCCTCCATGCCTTAGGAATCATTTCAGAATAATTGATTGGTCTCTTAGGCACACTAAACGGCTTTGATTGATCTTAGCTTTCGCCTAATAATCATATGGTTTAGCTTTCCTGTGGTCAATGACGAACGTTATGAAGTATAGATCGACGTCATTATTGACGAGTTTGTAATACGGGTTATGCGTGACGTTCTCTTTAACCTTTCTTCCCAGTATGATCAATCTATCTGGTCACCTGGTCATTAAAAGCTGGTCATGTTGGCTTCGAAACTAGAGCAAAGCCGGAGGCCTTTATGGACGCTTCTTGTATCCATGGTTTCAAACACTACTGTTGCTCCATCCTCTTTTATCGTTTCTCTGCAGACTTTTCTAGTTCCACGTAGATTGATGACCGTCCGAAGCTTATGCTGTTCCGCTCTGGAGTATCTGCTCAAGAGTTTCCGGAAACCTTTGCCTTTTGATGATGTCATAGTTCTCAGCCTTTTCACGGCATAGTGAAGATTTGAAGCTAATCTTCAATGAAGAAACAATAAATTTTTCCTTGTGTTCCATAGTTGTTCTTTTCTTAAACCCTTTGTTGTACATATGAAATCTAAATGAAAATACGAAATTTGTACTTGTAATACA